GCTTTTGTGGTTCCCGAGTTTAAAGTTGCGGACAAGTTGCTGCGGACACACACACACACACACACAGACAACCTCGTGACAATATGCGTTTTGTACTGCTGCTACGCAGCACAAAACACATCAGAAAAGCAAAACCAATGAACTGGAGCCTATGGCCAAAAACAAACAAAAATTGAGTTTATGCGAGTAGATAAACGGTTCCCGCAATTATGAGGTTTATGCTTAGGTGAAACTGAGGGCAAATAATTTCGACAGGATTTATTGAAGCTTTTGCATAAGTGGAGCTAAGGCAAATAAGTTTGACAGGTTTTGCTGAAGCTATGTTTAGGTTAAGTTGAGGGCTAATAAACTCGACAGGATTTACTTAAGCTTATGCTTAGGTGAAGCTGAGGGCAAATAAGTTCGATTAGATTTACACAATTACAGACAATGCCACAGTGTTGCTTCCCGCAGCCTGCAACTGTACATAACAGTTACACCTCTATTTTTTTCCCTTCAAAACCTCACAGGAGCAAAGATTGACTTCATCCCCAGGCATCCATTCTACCCTGTTTTTGCCCACTTCATGGAACTCTTTCACTCTCAACTTTATCTAAGTATCAGTTTCAAAAACGGGGAAGTCCCTTACTGATAACGGGTCTTTATGGACGAGTTACCACTAGCAAAACCTCAGATTTGCTTTAATTTACTTTATTTGTGTGCGCAGTATTGTCTTTGTCTCTTTACTGCAATCTCCAGTCCTTGCCTCGAGTCCCTGACTTGCACACTCATACCCCTTCTCTACCCTGTCCCAAATCCTGCTAGCAAACAAAATATAGACCCCTTTCCATCCCTACTATAACATCGCTGTTCAAACGAACAGTATTTAGCTTTCCCTACCAGGTATCTACGGTAAAAACGAGGAGCACACTTCCTCACCCTTTTCGTTCTTCAGTGCTCCCCTCTCCCCTCCAAATGCACGTTATTTAGTCAACCGGCAAAGGATCTACGCCATTTAGTCGTTATATTCACCTATCCCAGCCCCTTCCCCTGCCTTGAACGAAACCCGCCACATGTCGCATCCACTTCCACCTGTCACATTCAAACTGCCGCCATCCGCCGTAGGGCAGCCCTATTTCCCGTCGGGAGGAATTTTTTGCAGCTCGCGTATGAGACAAACCGAGCCGAATTATTGTAATTGCCTAGGCCCGCCCCCTTTAATGTCACACCGTTACACATTTATTGCGAAAACTGCGTAAATGTTGAGGCCTGCGCCTTCGGTCCCTCGGTAATTCCGTGGCATGTATATGGTGGGACGAAGCTCTGCCTGCCCTGTGATCTTATATATGTAAAGGTGAAGTGTCCAAACATTAGGAGTGAGAGGAAGGGGCGGGGGGTGATGCGTGGGACGAGCATTGATCGACACGGCCGATCAAGTACTTGTCCGACCTTTGATCTGGTTGTTTGATATTAAAGTTTTTTTAAGGACCATGTTTGGATTCGTCAGGCTTTGCAAGAGGATTTCAACATTTCGGCAGCAAGAAATGCTCTGTAGTCATCTGTTCTGTAATTTTTTAAGGCCGTGGATATGTTCATCCTGTAACAGCGTAGCCTGGGTTATTCATACGTCCTTTAACTCTTAAATTGAGACTCATGAGCTAGCACTGTTAAGTGGCTCCTCTGCACATTATTCGTGCCGAGCAGTTCAGGAACAAGGTTAACTGAACAAACATCGGTCTTTGGTGATCTCCGTGGCCGTGTATTCCAGGCAGATTCGCAGCTTTTCACAAGGCATTGCGTGACTGAACACAGATGCCGGTTGCGTTTTCCAGTGAAATAACGGTGCCAAATAAATGAACAGGCGATCCTTCCGTGGTCTGCAATAGCAACCTGCCCGGATAACAATGGCATCTACGCTTGAAAGTCCATCAAAGCTGATATACTCAATGAATGATCAGGTTCAATGCAATAATCAGCCAACAGCGATAGCTGCTTTTGATGCAGATGAATGCCACAGCATCAAGACACCGCTTTCAAGAACAATAAGAGATTCACTAGACAAATTTATCTCCTTGCGAATCATTTTGATAACTTGTTACGAATCTACAGCGAATGAAAGCGGCAAAATATACTGCACTTAATCCTGCCTTGTGATAGCTTTTTGACCTGTTGACCGTACAATAATATAAAGCATGCCGCAGCGCAGCCGTATTGCATTTTGATGTAATGCTACTTTGGACCAAAAACATATTTCGTATTGAGATTTTTTATGCCCTTTACATGGCCGGAGACCAAGCTCCAAAAAGTTATTTTTCTAGCTTTTGCGGTTCTAGATCTGGAAAAGAACACACGCAAATACAAAGCGATAACTGACATAAACACACACCCCTTTTTACGTTCACCCACATACATGCTGACAAACATACACATACACACTTGTGTAGGCATACATATACAAATGTTTTCACAGTAATTGTGCGTTTTTGCATAAAAACGCATACTATGACGACCCCGTTGTGTGTATGTGTGTTTGTGTACGTGTGTCTGTCCGGGTATTTCAACTTGGCAACCAAATAAGCTCTTACGCCGAAATTTTTTCAGTGGTTCTCCGGCCAGGCCCCACCAAGTTCCGCGTTACCAACCTTCACACATTTCTGGGTTTTGCGTACGAGCGCATGAAAGTTCTGGCGGGAAAATTGCCAACTCGACGACCGGGAAAGTTGGGAAGCTGACATTTTGAGGGGATGTTCCTAGCCCACGCACAACTTTAAATTCAGTTCCAGGTATACATGGGTCCTCATGTGCGGCTCCGCAAAAATTTTTGGCATGAAAATCGCTAACTCGGAAACCAAGAAAGCTGGGAAGCTGAAATTTTAAGGAGATATTCCTAGCCCAACTATCATGCAGTTGCATAATTAACCTCCTGAACTTCGAGGATTAGTATGCCATAAATTTTAGCTACTTGGACTTTAAGCGATTTTAAAACAGTACGAAATACGCAAAAACGCATGATCGCACGAGCCCGCCTGGTGCGCGTTGCCAATGATTTGTTTTTATGATACAAAATGAATGAAGATGGAATGTAAAACTATGCTAACTGTGCTGTTCGCTTCATATACGGATAATCGTCATCCGCCTTGAACGCATTCGTGGGCCTTCGGAACACTGTTATCGTCGTTGAATTGTTTGTTCGCACGAACGGTAATGAGTGCAACTGCCGACCGAACACTGTGCCATGTACCTGAACAAAATCCAGCAATTACAGCCCATACAGAACCCAAATCTCAAAAAAGAAAACGTTGACAGGCTTCAGGATGAAGCATACTGTAGCATTTATACGACAAATCGCTCTGCAATTTAAACCCAGGCTGGAACGCACCGAGTGGGCCCGTGCGATCATGAGTTTTTGCACCGGACTTTAATTATTCAGGTCATTAACTGTAACTCCACCTGTTGCTTCACGCCCACCTTTTGCGGTCACTAGCATAAATCACCATAAATTTTGCAAAGTAATGTATAATTTCCATTTAAC